AACCCATTGATCGTAGGGTATTGAATAAAAAGGTGAGGCCAAAGGAAGGTTAAGTAAAGTAAACATGTTTTCAGTACACCACAAACAATATTTCTTACCTATTGAAAAGATTGATTCCTACAGAGAGTATGTGCTGTTGGCATATTTGGCAGTTTGTAACGCTGTTCTTTTCCTCTATGGTTTGTATTACCGTTTGATCGTTTAATGGAGACGACCGAGTCCATTCGAAGAAGTAGCGCCTGGCATTAGCACACCGAGAACACGGCTGCTTTCGCAGTTCGACTGAGATGTGCTGGCTAGGTGGGGTGGTTGAATCGATGTTTGACGACTCAGAACAATCCAACTTTACTGTTGGAGGCACTCCGACACTTGATTGATGAGTCCGTTTCCAGATGGGGGAATCCGATCGATGAGGTGCTTTTAAGTCCTCAATATTACGGAGGATCTTGGAATGAGCGGCGTCAAACTGGTTGGTAAAAAGATACAGAAACAAAGCAACCTGGTGAGTGACGAGACGACATTGAATGTTTGAATGATCTCTACTAACATAACATAATAAAACTGTGTATCCTAAAGTGCATCTAGATGCTGCAACTTTTTCTTTGCACACAGAGTGGTTTACAGGAAAAGAGAAATGCAGCATATGCATATCTCCATGGTTTCGTAATGAAACCGGTGTGCTAATTTTAATCTTTGAAGTGAAACAAAAAAAACCTATATATATATATATATATATATATATAACACCGGCTTGAGAACAAGCATGGTACCAACGCCACAACAATATTAACAATAAGAATAACGCGGGAGAGGGGGGTTGGGATACAGAGTATAGGGAAAGACGTAACGGTCACAATTGAAGATTACGAATAAACGGAATAACAGTTTCACCGTACACTTTTTGAATTTTTTTGCACGTACATCGATCATGCTCTAGAGAATAGCCATAATGAATTACCCAGGAAAACGACAGATGGTTACTGCTACAAACAATATTTCTTAAGTAACAAAATTTCTTCAGATGTCAAATGCATTACGGTTAAAAATAGCCCCCAAGAGATGCGGGAGGATGAAACGATTTCCGACCATCCTGTAGGGGCAGTTTTGACCAGATGAATTTTGATTAATTTTGATCAATTGGGGAATTAGTTTATGCCAGACAATCTATAAACACAAGAGGGAATATATGAAATTACCGAATCTCTGAGTTGAATGTTTGAACCGAATATCTTTTGCACAGTTAAAAGCATTTTACATTCACTTCACTCCAGACTCACCTCAAGAAAATTCTCACTTCTAATTACCACAGTGGCCTACGCTCTTTTGATTGCAAGACAGTGACTTACAACCAGAAAATCAATAAATGCGCCGTAGGACATTCAACGCCCTGCATGCTGTGACCGAAATTTTAAGAATTTGAGGGTTTTTAAAACAAACTGATCATCGAGCCTAGTGAGTTACGGTCGAATCTCCTGCTATGTCGCACTCCTAGGGAATTCGAAAAATTGGGTAAATTAGAGGAACTGTGACACAGCGTGTTAGTCAGTAGTAAGTGCTATTAAGTAGTAAGAAAGATCGATTGCGACTTTTGTGGAAAATTAAACCAGATCGCTGAAAAGTTTGTTAATAAGGTTACGTGTTCCCATGTTTATAATAATGTAATTTATTTATGACGTTAATTAGATATACCGTCCTGCGTATCCTTTAAGTATCGAAGAAATTTATATCTTTTCTGACGCCCTAAACTTAATATCGGTACACCGCATGCGGTATTCAGCCCTTTTTCAGTTTTAAGTTTCCAGTTGTCCAGAAACTACCTACCGTTCTTCAGGGGATTTTTTCTGACCCAACCATCGCATATAAACTCCACGTACTCCTCCATTCGGTTGCAATGTTAGGCTGACCACAGAATTGAGTATATGACGTCCACCATAAAATACAACTTTTAAGTTATAATAATCACATTATTACTCATCCATTCAAGGAAAGCAAAAGTAAACCTGTTCGAATACAGTGAGACAAATAATCGTATGTTAAGGAAATAACACCATCCAAAAAGAGTGAAATATCGGTTACACGGAATACTCAGGACATTGACTTCTTTCCCATAATCAAACTGATTGTTCGCTGTGCAATCTATTCATGACTTTCCCTACCTTTTGCGATTCACGTTGTCCCAAGATCAAGATGTACGGGAATCATTTCAAGTTGTTCGAGCATCAGTTGTTTGAGCATCAGTTTAAGCTGCCTCGTTGACCTCATAGACGTTGACAAGCCTCCAAGCGATGTCTGGATGACCACCATGTAGTACAGATTTCTCTACCTCCCGCTGAAGCGCGGGGGACGATTTTGAGATGTGCCTTGGTCACACACGCCTCAATTCCCATAACACATGTTGATTATTTATCTTGTAAGTACGCGTACGCGTCTGTGTTTGAGTTATGACTGCATAGATGACTTTTTCTATCTATACCTCGGAGGGATGGTGGAGTTTGAAACTTTCCAATCACCAGCGATGATAACTTTTATCAACTAACCAAAAGGCATACGACACCTGTGATTCAATTTTGGGAACTAAAGAATTCAATACCGGCGAATCGAGTTAAAGTACTGCGGCATAGCGAAGGGAAAGAAATGGTCTAATATACTCACGTGTTTCGCTTCTGGTTTCATTAGATTGAGTGGAGTGAGACGAATTGTGAGTTTGTCTGACTGGCCGTCACATACGGATTCAAGCATAGAGATCCGAGTTGAGTTGCAAGATAATTTAGGAGTGTACGCTAGATTCAACGGGATAGGATGCAACACATGGCAAATGAAAGCAGTTAAAAGTAGCCCTAATATTGCTGATTATCGTGATTGTTCATAAACCAATCTTTGCCACAATAAGCACAATATGACTGAAAGCGTGAAATTTCATTTCCCTTTGTTTTGCGATTATCTTAATAAAATTCATACTTCCATTTGTTCGAGACAGAGTTCTTAACGCATTAACATTTTGTTTCGTCGCTGATTGGCCAGTTTTTCCGCAATATGTTTAGCTGTTGGGCAATTTCGTTGGGCCACTGATGACCGATCCGAAAACTGTACAAAAGCTGACGAGTTCACTGCATAAAATGTATTTTGGTTGAGCTATCTGAAGATTTGTCTTCCTGCTTCTCCCGAGTCACTGGGGTCTCGGGAATCACACTTCACTGGGTAACTAGTTGAATGTACCCATGTTGAGATCCTCGCTCGACGGTATCGCAGTCGTACAGATGTTGACCAACCTCGTGCAACATCACCATTATTTAGGAAATCCATTTCAGTTTGCAATATCATACTTATATATTGATGGCTATGGGTATAGTGTATTTATTCCTGCCTTTATCTCCAACTTCTGTTCTTAGTTCTCTTGTATCATCGTTTGAATTCGCGCGACCTTGAGTGTCACGATAAAATTTGCGGTAGTGGCGGCTCAGTTTTAATATTAAACGTAAAACATCATGGAAATTCATTCTCTCTAATGAATGATTGCCGTTTCATTAGTGATTATTAAGCAGAACGCTTATTTCTTTTGATTCACTATATGGTCAATAAGCAAACTGATGAAAATATTCTAGCTTTAGTAAATTGCTGACTTATTTGGCTATCAACTACTCACGCATTATCCCTAATACTGCAACAACTGAAAATAGATTCCAAGAAACATACAAGTTGAAATTCGAAAGTTAACCATAAGGTGTGCGTCTTGTCCTGTCACCATGCCCAAATCGGATGAAACATCCAAGGTATCTTGGCATACAACTAAAAGTGAGAGGCAACTTAAGTGAGAGGTGCATAAATCTGAAGACTCAGTTTTTGACTAGTGCAGATGCTCCCATGCGAACACAAACCCAATTTGTTGCACAATCAATGGAATTTCCCCATCAAGACGTAAACCAAGACGATTCTCCCTCACATCACATCGAACCGAGACGATAGTTAAATTTGATCGCATAGGAGAAAAATTGCACACAACCAATATGGAAAATAGGCCAGGTGGATTAGCCGTTTTCTCCTCCCGTTACCGTTTGGAAAATGATGGCTCAATTTGAAATGCAGCTGATTATGATGGTAATCAACTGTTTGCTATAAGACACCAAAAAACCTAGAAGCATATAAATTTGTCTCTAAATTACCCGCCGAAACGAAATTGATCTGTACATGTGATCTACAAATTGAGCTATCGCGAAGTAAGTTATAGATATCAACAATCAGTACTTTTCCCGTGAATATTCTCATTCATACATGTTTACTAATAAATGAATATTTTTGTGAAAAGAAAATGAGTTACAGTAAACGGAGCGCACCTCATTAATAAGGGCTGTATGGATGCGTGGGAAAATATTTAACATGAGTTCGGTTTGTTAACAAGCAGAAGTACTTACTAAAAACAAAGAATATACTCCATAGAATGAATTTTTTACTTTATTCCTAAATTGTTGGCGAAGTGCCAACGAAAACCGATGGAGTGAACCAATGCTATAAAAAAGATGGTGTCTCCCATTGGACGAGATAAAGAGAAGCAATGGAAGGGAGTATTGGATAAATAACCTTGATGTCAAAACAATAGCTATCATGAGGAGTGGTACGAAGCTAACACACAACAGCGCATTTGTGGATCTATGTCACAAAACTAAGGTACAGCAGAGTGAGGAAAATAGGCTCACAATGATAAAAAACAGAGATTCACTACCACCATTTATCCAAACTACTTTTTTTAGTCAAGCCAAATTAAGGACGTACTTCAACGTGCATACGAAATATTTCAAGCAATGTTCGCAGTGTCCATTGAAGATATTCGGTCGGATAACAAGCGTGCAACCTCTAACTTTATTCTGAGCTGCAACCAGTAAAACTGGTAATCAGTTCGGCCGATGTTAGGCAGATCTTGCACTACATAGGAGAACAAACATGAAAAAACGCGTCATCCAATCAAAGTAATAAACCAACATCGCGATTCCTACTACTCACTGAAATCATGACCGAAATGACTTACAAGCACTTCGTCTTTCAGGAGCAGCAGCGTTTGCAGCGTACGAATTCGGCGCATGTGGTGGGACTGGTGGAGGAATCGGTTCACGATCACTAATAAGCGGGATGGTTGCAGCTAAACTCGACGTTGTAGCCAACATGGACGTAGACTCTGTTTGATTTTGCCATATGAAGAAATTAGCAGAATTGCTCGAATGTGAACTGAGACCTGAGTCCCGTGCTGAGGAATCAGTTATATGCTGCAGTGGTGTACGCAATCGTAGCATCTCTGGATTATCGGGATATTCCCGTACACCAGTGTCTATCTGATCACTTTGCTCTTTGATGGCAACATCAGCTTCGCACCAGCTGCCTGTGCCACTGCTATTGACGCTTAGATTCGAAGGCAAGTAGTGTTTTGTAACCCCCGAAGCAGGATTATCCGTGAACCAACTTGTTATACTTTGTCGGCGTGGAGTTCCTCGATCATCACTTGCCGTCAGATTTTGGAGGCTCAAACGGGTTACATCAATTAGCGCCATGGGAGGAGGGATATCTACAGTATCATCACAGCCTAATTCACAGCCACAAGAGAATGTATTCCGCCGGTAACGCTGAAAATAAAAGATAGCAGATATTGTAAAGGTATGGACATGACTAATTTATGGAACTGAATGCTTGGCTAAACGCATTCACAATTCAATTTTGGTAGTAGGCAGCTTCGCTGTCATCCGGTTCGATACCGCACCTATGCTCATTTCGTTCACCATTTTAAATTGCGCAGTTTGGGTAGCTGGTTCCCATGACTAAAGAGCAGATTCTCGTGCCTACAAAACGATAGCAAAGCGACTGTCATGAGATGGGTTCGCGCGTGCTAGTAGTGCACCTAGGAAAAGGATTTAGATGGAGCCGATTACCTTTTGCTGACTTGAGCAGAAAGAAGGCAGAAAGGGGGACAAAGCACCAGCCTATGCATACCTACGGTATAGGTAGAATCTCGATTGTGAATAAAAGGTGGATCAAAGTGGAAGGGAAAGCCGGCCGCTTTGTGTTCGTGAAAAATAAGTCATAGTTGTCAGTGCTTGCTGGATGGACTTAACGGACGATGACAAAAGGTATTTGGTGTCTGAACGCTTCCAGTTTGAGTTTTGGGGACAGATGAGAAGAATTCAAACGTCTCATTCCTGACGAAGCAAAAAGCAGATCGGTTCATCTGCGAAAAAAATGCAAAGAGCGCTTTCTACAAACCGGATTGACTAAGAGTGGAAACTAATGGTTTAAGGAAGAATCGGGTGACTGTAGAGTAGTTGATAGTAATATGAAAATACTTGTGTTTTCAAACCCACTGTTTTCAATTCGCAAATTAACGCGAAAGCTGTCGCATAACTATTCAATCATACAACGAGTGTCGTTCCGTCTTTCTATCGACTCATATAAATATTTCCATGGGGTAGCGNAGCGATGAAGGAATCGGATTGGTCGAAACGTATAGAATTCGCGGAGTGGTCCAAGCGCATCTCGCCAACACAGTAATCGTTGACCGAAAATGTAATCCGGTCTGACGAGGCCGTTTTCTAACAACTAACAAAATAAATCAGGTTCACCGGGCACAAAACCACCCACACATTACAATGGAAACGTAACACAGTTACAATCCTAAAATTCGTGTTTGGTTTGGGATGCATAACATGACCTTGCTAGGTTCAGATTTCTTTGATGTTGCAGTTGATGGGACACCTTAGCTACAGTTGCTTGCAATCCTGATCACAGTATATTCAACTATTGGACCCAGAGCAAAGACAGAATTTATTTTCTGCAGGATGGTGAAGCTACACATTATTTGAGAGCAGTAAGAACATGGCTTGACAAAACATTTGCACAAAAATGAATCGGTGGAGATAGAGCTGTATACTGGCCACCAAGATCTGGTCCCGTTAGATTTTTTATGGAACTGACTGAAGTCTGTTTACACTCTCCAGCCGCATTCCTTACACAAAGTGAAAGAAAATATCACAACTGTATCGCCAAACACCTCTTGAAAAGCCAGGAAGGTTTACATAAATCTAAATCTAATAAAGCGATTCGAGAAATGTGTTCCGAGCGAAGCATGGAGCTTGGACACTTGCTATAGTCCCTAATGAACGTTCGTAATTCAGTGACCAAATGAGAATCTAGTTTCTTTTCTAATAAATGATTAAATTTCACTCAAACTTGTTCGTTTTCCCCTCAAAGGTCAATCAACTCACGTCCTGCTATATACTTATTCGTGAATTAAGGAGAGTTGATAGCTTTTCTAGTAATATGTATAGCTTTACTACGGCAGAGTGCATTCAAGGCAATAGCTAGGTTTTTATCAACCTGAATGCGCAAAACCATGGTTTGTGAACGTTAGTGCAGACATAACTTGTGCATCTCCGAAAGCATCATTATGGTCGGGGCCGGGTGTCCAGGGTTGCGGCTGTCACCCTCACCTTGCATCTCGCGAAATGCTCCCATACGATCACCTTTTAGGAAGAAAGCGGCATATGTTTTTCTCTGGACCGAGCTGAACGTATGCAAAAATAAGCATTTTCACATTCTTCCTCAATTACTCCATTTGTTCCACTCTTGTTCAATCCGGTCTGTAGAAAACGCTCTTGGTATTTTTTTCGCAGATGAACCGATCTGCTTTTTGCTTCGTCAGGAATGAGACGTTTGAATTCTTCTCATCTGTCCCCAAAACTCAAACTGGAAGCGTTCAGACACCAAATACCTTTTGTCATCGTCCGTTAAGTCCATCCAGCAAGCACTGACAACTATGACTTACTTTTCACGAACAGCGAAAGGTCAATACAATGCGGCCGGTTTTCCCCACCACACACAAACAAACGATTCAGGAGTGTGTGGACGGGTTTCGTCGGGTAAAAGTGCAACTGAACCGCAGCTGAAAATTCTACTCAGCAGTGTGTTTTATCTTAGTGATATATATATATATATATATATATATATATATATATAATTTGTAGATAGATAAATGGATAGATAGCCCGCATGTTTTGGTTTGTCTATCGTTGCTAACACAAGCGGTTTTCATCAATCGTCAAGAGTGTGACCCCCAGTTTTCTATACCATTTAATTCGAGAAACTATCACTTTAATTTGCAAAAGCGTCTTTTTGAATTGAGAAACCATCACTCTGAACTGAGAAAGAAACGCTTTGGTTGGACCCGCTTCCGTTCAGTTCACCGCAATGGTCAAGTGATCACACGATTTTTCTACTCGCGGATTGACCACCTGCCTTCTCACGGCCTTTCTGTGTTGAAATGAAGCAAATCTCAGTCTTGCATCTTGTCCATCCCGTTGACGGACGTCGATTCCGTGGGTCGGTAAAGCCGTGCGATTTGCGTGAGACAGCTAAGCTGGACCCGATTCGATAAGCACGAAGGATAACGTACTGTTTCGTGTGCATTACAACTGGTCATAGTTGCACAGACATTGCTCACTATCACCAAAGATGAGTTCAGTGCTTATGGTGTATTCATTACTTGAATCACGCCTGAAGCTCACCCATTCATGGCTCAACCCACAGAACTGAACGACACAGAACGCAGTCGATCCGTTTGATAAAAAGAGTTACTGGTTGTCAGAAAAGTATTGTTGCTCCAGTGAGCGACCGTGGTTACCAAAAAACTGACTTCAGCATTGCTCGTCCGGCTGCCCACCAGATTCGTGCAATGCTGCGCAGACAGTGGCTTTCGAACACCGACATTTTATCTTTATCCTGTTTACGTAATGGCCAAGTCTCTGCAATGTAGATCCGAAATGGCTGAACAGCTGCAGTATACACTCGACTCTTCACCGACAGCCGGATGTCGTGAAGGCGCCACATATGTCTCAAGTTAGCAAATGCCAACCGAGCCTTCTGTATGTGAGCTGACACTTCATCCGCGATGGGTCCGCCGCTGACCAAATAACAAAACCTATCTACTTGCTCTATGACTTCCCCATTCAGAGTGAGGTTGGGTGGTGGACCAAACGAGTCTTGTACCAACATGTTACACTTCGAAGGTGCAAAACGCATACTGAACATGGCTACGCTGGCACTCAAGCTATCCAGAAAATCTTGCAACTTACCTGGATCTTCAATTGGCAGTACAATGTCGTCTACATACTCCAGATCAGACGGTCTGCCATCTGGGAGCCACCATCCTCGCACGAGGATAGGACTGTTTCTATAACCAAATTTATAACAGAGTTAAATAAAAAAGAAGAGAGACAGAGAGGGCAACCCTGAAAAGCTCCACTTTCCGTGGTGAACTCGGGTGAAAAAGTGCCGTAGACTCGGAGTCAACTTCGACTATTACTATACAGGGATCATAGTATTGAAATTAACTTCTCGGGCACACCCCTCGGGGAAAGGCAGCGCTAGAGCGGTCGACTGAGTCGAAAACCGCTTTCAGATCAAGAAAGACAGAAATAGTGGGTCTACGAAAAGAATGTCGGTGCTCCAGAGTTTGGCGAAAAATGAAGAATAAAGCTTCGTCTAGGTATCGTGGAACAGGCATGGGATATGAGGAATACCGAGTCATTCAGAACCAGTTTACTGCACTGAAGAATTGCAATAGGACTTTTTGAGCAACGCCTTGCATTGGGTCCAGTACAGGCACCAAAGTGGCTGTACGCCTACACCACGTTCTGAATCAGAACAACTTCGGGCCTGCCGACTTTCATCAAAGATGGGGTAGTTACTGTAAACGATGGAGACAAAGCCGCATCATGCCCCGGTGTATCCCCGGACCCTGACACGTCGACACATCCACTGGGCGCAGACACTGTCCCAAATTGGACTTCCATTTACAATCGGGGAAGTTGTTTGGGAGCTGCGTCCGCTAGAGGTTCAGTAGTAATCTGGACCTGATATTATGCATCTGCTTATCCTGAGGGAGCCGGGGCAGACCAACTTGCAGTGCTGTTGTGCAATCTGTTCAATGTGTCTTTCATACAAGTGTTTAGCGCGACAGTGGAAGAATACTGTCATTGTGCCACGACCCAAAGACGGAGACAAGAGTGATTCTGGAAACTACCGACCGGTCAGCCTTACTAGTGTAGTGGGGAAAGTGATGAGAAGACTGGTGGTTGCACGGGTTCGGCAGCATTTGGTGTACAACGGTCATCTGTGTCAACAATAACACAATTTTCGTCTGGGTCGGTCATGCCTCTCGAACCTGCTCCTATTCCGTGAATGCTAGACTGAAGACAAGGTTAAAGGACACGAAACGGACATCTTCGCGCACTTCAGCAAGGCCATTGACAAAAGGCCACACAAACCTTACGTGGTCCTACCTAAGTTGGACGGAGTGAACGGGTTAGAAACCTAGAGGTCGTCGGGCGTTTGGAAATGCATCGAACAAGAACTCGCTATCCCATCGAATTCAACTCAATAGGCTCCGTTGGTTAGGACACGTTTGTCCGATGGTCGCCTATCGTAGCATACCTTATTTACAGTGGCTGTTCCAGACTGGCGAAAGCCACGTGGCGGCCGGTAGATGACAAGCATTGAGTTT